AGCAGTAACAAAGAGCTGGGAATTCAGGCTACATATCTCAAGGAACAGATTAGACTGCACTCAGGTAAGTTAAATGACTTCAAACCAAACTAGGCTGATGAAACTCACGCCAAGTAGTACAAGGAAGTAACTAAAGAATTTTCACAGCCATTAATAGCTGTCTTTAAGAACTACGCAGGACACATAAAGCTCAGAAAGACTGGGAAAGCAAGAATAACTGCTGTCTTTAAAAGGGAGAAGAAAGAGGAAGGGGAGAATTATGGCCCAATCCATTCAAATACCGTTCTTAAAAAAAATACAGGGAGCAAATGCAAGATAAGAAAAAGATGAGTTATAGACACATGAATTAATCAAGAAGAAATCACACCAAACCAGCCTAATCTCTTATAACAGAATAACAGGTCAGATGAATCGTGCAGGCTATCCAACATGACAGAAGTGAAGTTTTTGGTATGACAAAGATTACAGAACATTTCCATAAGCAAAGTAGGAAAACACAGCCTAGATTAAACTAACATAAAGTAGGTTTCTGCAGAACTAGCTGAAAAAAACATTCTTAGTCTTATCATTTAATTTCTGGAAGACTACACTTATTGCAGATATCTGAGGGAGGCAGGTGTCTTTCATGGCTAAAATTCTATTCAGGAATTTCATTAAATGCTTAGATGTTGGAATAGACAGTGTACTTATGAAAGTTGACAAGCTGACAAAGGTGAAAAGGGCTGCAAGCACCTAAGAGGACAGGCTTAGAAATGAAAATTTTCTTGAAAGATCAAAGCTACAGTTTGAAAAAATAATATGTTATTGTTCTATATAGGGACAAGTGCACTGAAACTGAAATACCTACAGAAATAGAAGATGGAGCAGTTGGCTAGGGAGCAGTTTTGCATTAAAGAATGCAGGTGTTATAGGAGGCACTGACATTACTATGTTAGTTCTGACCAGAAAAGCACTGTTCAAGTAAACCATCGCTTATCAAGCTGTGGTTACATAAGTGAGAGGTCTTGGGACATAGGAATCTAGATTCCTTTCCAGAGAAAACAGAGCCAGATGTGCTTCAGATGCACACCTAATGCATTCCAGCTGCTAATGGGCACTCAGACTGTGGCACTAGAATAAAAGCAGTTCAAGCTAAAAACCTCTGGCACATGGACGGCATGAACACTGAGTGCTTAGCACTGTTTTGCTCAACTTTGTTCCTGTTGCACCACAGTACTTAAAAGCCCACTGCCATGATGCATGACATGCTGACTATGAATCAGAAGTATGTTGTGAATAAGGCAAATGTGACAGTGGGACAGTGTGTTTGCTGTGAGGCAGATGAGGGGGCATAGTCTCGGCTAGAGAGCTGCATTCGGTTTTAGCAGCTTCCTCTTAGAAAACATTTGGGCCTGCCTCTTAGTCAAAGAAATGATTAGGCAATGAGAATGATCAACACTCAGCAGCGAATCAGCAGTCATTCCGTCAAGAGAAGAAAAGTGTGAAATAATAGTTTCCATGTCCAACGAAGGCGGCCACAAAGAGAAGTGGGATGACTGGACATCCATGTCCACTGTGAAGGAGGCTGTTTAGATTAGACATCCAGGCAGTGAAACAACAGTAGGTGAGGGAGACTGCAGAATCCCCATCACAGGAAGATTTTGCAAACAGGTTAGACAAGCATCTGTCAGACTTGATTTAAATGCAGTTCATCCTGCCCTGGGGTGGGAGGCAGACACAATCTTTTTAGATCATTTAGAGAGCTATTTGTTTTGTTTCCTTTTTAAATGTAAATAGTAAAAAATTCTCTTTCCTACTCCTTTCATCTTGTCATTCTACCTTTTGAATCATTCCACTGATTTGTCAAGTCACATCTTTTGGTTTTCACATATGATCTTTTGGTTTTCCATCCCAATCTGTTCCTGTCCCATCCCACCCTTTACACTTTGACACTAAGCTTCATTTGTGGCACTGCTTCTGCTAGGTAATCCCTCCTTTTCTCATCCACAAAGCAACATGTTGTCTCCATTCAAATTTCTGCATAAATGAAGTATTTTGATAAAATTGCCGACCCAAAATTGTATCTTCATTGAATTCAGGGTGTGCTTATGTCCCGAGCAGCTAATGGCAGTTTTGCAGTTAGTTTATTTTGTTCTTTCAGAGTCTTATTTTATTCCTGACCAAGTTGTGATCAGATGAGAGATTATCACCAGTTTTAAGAAAAATAAGAACTATATTAGAAAACTGTAACAACACAAAAAAGGGATATTTAATCATTGCAGAAGCTTGCATGGAATATCTTTTTAATAACGAAAAGCATCATTAGTTCTGTAGTGTAAGGGTGACAGACACAAGCACAAACATTACGTATAGATACAAATCTCTACGGCATTTTCTCAGGTAACATACGGGTACCTATGGGATGATTTTTATACACTTCTTTGCTGGTATTTCGGGTTTCCCCGGCGCACGCGGCCGCCCGGAGCAGAGCGTTGCTGCCATCTGCTGCCGCCTGCGCCCGGCCTGTGGGCGCTGGGACTGGCTTGCAGAGCCCAAGGCAGCCGGGGGTCCGCGCGCGGGATGCTTCAGCACAAGGCAGAACAGGTTATATGAGTGTGAATTAAAGACCAGATAATTGTTCTTGATAATGCAATATGTGTACCAGCATAACAGAGATTCAGTAACAGCTGTATGCACTCCCATTAAATAATTTTTAATAAGAAAAGCTAATTGTTGCTTACTTTTTCCATTTTTGGATTATTTTAGATTAGTCCATTATTATTACAAGCAGCTTTAATTCTCTTCAGCTTTCTATGGAATAATATTCACTTTCATGTAAAGGCCTTTCATATATTGGACAATGCTCTAAGATTTTTTTTTTTAAAAAAAAAGAGTATTCCCTGCATTAACTTTGCTTTTCATGTCACTCTTGTTCTCTTTTCTGATGAGTTCCATGTTCACTGTCAAATTAGCTGTTCTGTATTAATGAACACATGCAACACTTTAAATATTTATTTCTTCCTGGTGAATATTATATATATGTATTTTTTTAAGGTCAAAAATCATAGAATCATAGAATCATTAAGGTTGGAAGGGACCTCTAGAGATCATCTAGTCCAACCCCCCTGCACACGCAGGGTCACCTAGAGCACGTGGCACAGGGTGGCATCCAGGCAGGTTTGGGAGATCTCCAGAGAAGGAGACTCCACAACCTCTCTGGGCAGCCTGTTCCAGTGCTCTGTCACCCTCACTGTTAAGAAATTTTTCCTTAAGTTCCTGTGGAACTTTTGGTGCTTCAGTTTGTGGCCATTCCCTCTAGTCCTGTCGGTGGCCACCAGTGAAAATAGACTAGCCCCATCCTCCTCACTCCCTCCCTTGAGGTACTTATAGACATTGATTAGATCCCCTCTCAGCCTTCTCTTCTTTTTTACCAGGGCTGAGTAGAGGGGCAGGATCACCTCCCTCGACCCTCTGGAGAGCTCTTCTTAATGCACCCCAGGATCCCATTGGCCTTCTTGGCCACGAGGGCACACTGCTGCCTCATGGTCAACTTGTCGTCCACCATGACACCCAGGTCCCTCTCTGCAGAGCTGCTCCCCAGAAGGTCAGTCCCCAGGCTGTGCTGGTGTCTGGGGTTATTCCTCCTCAAAAAATTGTATGTAACTTCAACTATCTACCTAATATAAAATCCGATAACATCCATTTGATTTTTTTTTTTAATCTTATTTTGGAGAGGAGAATTTGCATATTCATTCAGCATCAGCTTAATGATTTCCTTAGGGCAGATAGAGAAGTTTTCATCTGGACAATAGTGCATTACAAACAAGGTTTATTCTCCAATTTAGATAGGAGGCTACTTTGTTAAAAAAACAATAGAAAAAGTAAAGTTGAGTCTTATTACGTAATAAGTTGCAATCATCTATTAATATAACATACAAAAAAAGACATTATCTCAACATTCCTACCTGGCATAGTTGCATTCTGCACAGTGCTTCACAGAAGAGTGTAAGTGAAGGGTTAATAAACAAGAGTAGCAGAGCAATTTGCGTCAAGTCTAGCTAACCATTTCATGCAATTCCTTCCTGCAAATTGGAAAATCATTTATTTTCACATCTTTAATTAATACTCTCACCTGAGATGTAGAGAATGACTTGGATCAGGCCTCATGCAAATTAAATGGCTGCTCTAAGTACAGGATTATTGGCCATTCTAGGAGAGGGGTTTCTCACCAGCCCCTCTAGGAGATCTGCCTTTGGGCCTTAGCTTTTCTGTCCTCAGTTCACCTTTTGTCAAGTGTTAACAGTAACAGGGTAACAGTAAAGTAAGCATAACAGTATGTGGGTCTACTAAAAGATCTTTGGAGCCGACACACTTCATTTTGAATGTGTCCCAGGGCTCTCACTCAAGGTACAGAACACACGTGCATGTACAACATGGATAATACATTAAAGACTCTGGAGCTCCCAGATACAGTGATGAAGGAGGGGAGTTAAAAATCACAAAGAGAATTTTGAGCAATGAGTAATATAGAACTATCAAAAATAAATGTTCAACATGCAATATTTCAATTCCTCTGGCCAAATACTTCACAGGACTTTCTTTAGGAATTTAGAGCGCAATAATAAAACAGACACTGGCTACTCATATTATAGAAATACTGAGGACATCACATGAGACTGTAGTTGACTTTTCTAATGTCTCTTCTTCAAGTATTTTATGAGATGACCTTGCAGGTGCACTCCTCTCTGAGAAGAAAACAGCAAAATTCAGCTGAATATTAAAAAATGTAAGAAGAATGGAGAGTACTGTAAGTGATGAAGAATTGAACATATGAGCTTGCTTTTAAGAACTGTACAAAAATCTTCCAAAAGTCTTGTATTCAGAAGAATGTCCAGAAAAAGCATTAAGAAGCAAGAAAGCTCTCATACATTTATTTTGTGTAGGCAGAACCCACACTAACTTTTCATTTTCATGATTGATATTTTGCTTATTTTTCCCTGCTACATTTTCTTTTTTAACAGATGAATTCAAATCCTTCCAATGCCATGGCTTTGACTTCTACCACTTCGAACAAAAAAGAGACAGTGTGCATATTTGGAACAGGAGATTTTGGAAGAGCTCTGGCATATAAAATGATTCAGTCCGGCTACTCCGTTGTGTTTGGAAGCCGACAGGTGCAGATATCCAGCCTGATTCCCAAGGGTGCTGAGGTGCTGAGCCACACAGAGGCTGCACAGAAAGCTTCCATCATCTTTATAGCAATCCCGAGGCAACATTACAACTTCCTTCTACCATTAGCAGAAGTTCTCAACGGAAAAGTGCTGGTGGATGTAAGCAACAACTTAAAATTAAACCAGTATTCCCAATCCAACGCAGAATACCTTGCTCAGCTGATCCCAGGTGCTAAGGTTGTGAAAGCCTTCAACACCGTGTCAGCCTGGGCCTTGCAATCCGGCACGCTGGACGCAAGCCGACAGGTAAGACGGAGCAGTGGCAGCACACAGGGTGTTAACAGTCTGCAGTCTGTTACCTATTAGACAAAACACATGGGATATACGAATCAGGCAAGGTTGAGACAGTCGAGATAATAATTAAATGTGAACTAAAATGTAATCTAGGGTTCTAATAAACTATGTTTTAGAGATCTCTGTGCCCAGTTCCATGGAGTTCTTACAAACCTACACCAATGACAGCTAGTGGCAGTGGAAAAGTTTGCTCCTGTTTATGGAGTCTTACAGAATCTCATGTCACCACGTGTGCTTACAAGTGGCTTGCAGAATCTTCAAAAGTTATCTTAAAATCAACGTATTCTAGGAAAAATCTTGTGTTAGGTGCGTCAGAGTTTGTTATTTTCGCAGATACAATTTTGTCACTTGAAACAATCTCCTCCTCCAAAGGAAGGGATACGACACTTAGTTCTTGGGTCTGTTGGTCAAGAAATAACTCATAGGTCAGGGCTAGCAAGGAAGCCAATGAGTCTAGGAAATTTGTGCTCATGTAGAATAGCAGGAAAGATTATCACAAAAGTTTGTCAAAATAGAGTTTCTGTTTGTTTTTGGCTGCAGGTGTTTGTCTGTGGAGATGACAAGAAAGCCAAACAAATGGTGATGGATATTGTCCGTGCACTGGGTCTCACACCATTAGATCAGGGATCTCTCTTGGCTGCTCAGGAAATAGAGAATTACCCTCTGCAGCTCTTTCCAATGTGGAAATTCCCCATCTTCTTGTCTCTTGGCCTAATTGCATTCTTCTTCTTCTACTGTTTGATTCGTGATGTAATTTATCCTTATGTTAATGAAAAGAAAGATTTTTCTTTCTTTATTGCAATTTCCATTGCAAATCGGATCTGCCCGATACTGGCACTCATCCTTCTTGCCTTGGTCTATCTTCCGGGGGTACTTGCTGCAATTATTCAGTTATACAGAGGTACCAAATACAGTCGTTTCCCAGACTGGCTGGACAAATGGATGCTGTGTAGAAAACAGCTTGGACTAGTAGCCTTGGCATTTGCTTTTCTACATGTTTTGTACACTCTTGTTATCCCAATTCGCTACTATGTAAGATGGAGAACAAATAGCGGAGTCATTTCCCAAGTAAGTTTTGCTCTTCTCCCTCCTTCTTTCTACATAGTTTATATGTCAACAAAATAAACCGGGAAACTATAAAAATTAAGAATCATTTAAGGAAATATTTTTCTGCGTATACCTTTAATGGCACGTATCCTGACTTTCTGACCTTATTTAACAAAAAAGGATCACATATGTGTCCTCAGTGGTAGATCTACAGCAGTATGAAACATGCAGCACCACAGAATTATAGATAATGGGACACAGAATTTGTATATATTTTAACGTCCTTTCTGCTTTTCAAATAACCGTTCCAAGAGAGTCTCTAAAAAGAGACAGTGACTTTTTATTCATTTTAGGATAGTTCACATATAACATTTTATATAATGTTACAGTGTTGTATGTAAAGTTTAGATAATGTTGTAAGAATTTTCTTCCAGATATCTTAAAATATTTTTTTGCATATTAATCCTAAAACTGTTAACACTTTAATGTATATCTAGTTTTCTTCTCTTTAGGCACTGAACAACAGAACAGATCAATTTAATAACAGTAATGCCTGGCTTAGTGACTCTTACTTGGCTTTGGGGATTTTAGGATTTTTTTTATTTGTGCTGCTGGGAATAACTTCCTTGCCTTCAGTCAGCAACAGCGTCAACTGGCGAGAATTTCGATTTGTGCAGGTACAAAAAAGACTTTCTTTAATAAATCTTCTTCCCTCTGCCTCTTCCAAGGAATGTCCTATTCCCTTGTAAACTGTGACCTCAGAGAGGTTTTCTAGCGATTTAATGCTCTTCTCCATTGGTATCTCCAAATGTGGTGTGCAGTTTTTACCATAACAAGGTAAAAAAAAAAAAACTGCATAGCTATACAGCACATACCTCTCCTATTAAAAAAAAATAGAAAAAAGAAAACAAAAAATAAGTAAAACAAAAAGACCCCCCAAACGCTCTGAACTGATGGGAGAACTGGGATCATTACACTAGTCACAGAAAACAAGAAGACCTGAGTTGCTAAATGACAAAAGGAAAGCTGACATTGTAGAATTACCAACTGCTAAATTATACTAAAACACAAAATATTTCAGCCACTTACTGGGCTGATTTCCTTGCTTCGGATGAAAACTCAGTTAATTGATAAGCCAGTAAATATGAGTCTGAAAATCGACTTTATCACACAGATCCTCTCAACAACGAGGAAGGAAATCTGCAGGTTCCACAGGCTCTAAAGCTGGCCTTGGTCTCACTGCAGTGTCAGCCCTTGGTTCAGAGGAAGCTTGATGCAGGGTGCAGGGCTCTGCAAGAGTGAAGGTGAAAGGGAAGAAGACTAAAGTCACTGAATGTTTTATACAGACCTGCGCTGTTCAGGCTGCATTATCACTACAGTGTAAAACAGCTTGGACCATTTTCTCCGCAGTTTCATATACATGACAACCACCAGGCAGTATGTGTTTGCTGGCAAAAAGTAGCAGGGTAGTTCACAAGAAAAAAAGACCCAAAATGATGTTTCACCTAGGACCATCTGAATGACGCTTTATTAAAAAGAGTAGCAGCCTTTATATTCATAAGTATTTCCCAGTAGCCCCAGATTGGCCCCCAAATTAGCACATTCCCTAAAATTTACTATAAACCGTAAATTTTATTTATTCTGATGTATCGCATACTATTTTAACCTCCATTTCTTTTCTTCTTTCTCTTTTCCCCCTAGTCCAAGCTGGGATATCTGACCCTGATTTTGTGTACTGCACACACCCTGGTTTATGGTGGGAAGAGGTTCCTGTATGCTTCATCGTACAGATGGTACCTTCCAAATGCCTACATGCTCTCTCTCATAGTTCCATGCATTGTACTAGTGGTGAAATTTGTGCTTGTACTTCCCTGTCTTGATAAACCACTCACACGAATCCGGCAGGGCTGGGAGAGAAATCCTCGATACTCTGAACAGTCACACTATATTATCAACAAGTCTGCTGTATAATTAAACCAGTCTGCATTTTCAAAAATGAAAAGATTATGGAGGTAGTATCAAAATGAAACCCATATCCAACTTCATCTGGAAGGTGAGGAAAAAAAGTGAGAAATATGGAAAGGCCTTGAATAAAATAAAAACACTTCACAGTCACAAGATTAAAACGTAAGTCAAACAAGGGGCCAGCTGAGCTCCTGCTCTCCATGTAACGTCGGATACAGGCCTAGGCCTTCATTTTTGCTGAGTGTATTTCCCCCTTGTTTCTTTGTCCTCTATTCCTAGCAGGAATAGGAGAGAGGAAAATGATGCCCAGTATCCCTCCTCTGTCATTCTGAATCTCACCCCAGGCTGAGCAGAACCAGGGAAACCTCTGCTGTTACGTGGTGACTCCTGCTCTTCCCTGTCTTGCCCATGCTAGCTCAGGCCTACAAGCTCCCATCAAGGAGACCCTCACCCTCACACACACACACGGTCTGATCCCATCACTGAAGCCAGCAGCCTCTATAGAATTGGGCCTTCCTCTGGCCTAAGAAGAGCTCAGTTCTTCAGAGCATTGCTTTATCCTCCATGATTGCCTGATCCAAAAGATACTTTACTCTAAAGTAAAAGATACTTTAGAGGTACTTGAGCAAGATTTGCTCATTTGGCTTGTGGATAGGAATTGCCATGTTCAAAGCATATGAGTGAAGGATTACTGAATCTTTGCTTTACTGTAGTACTGCAACTGTAGCTAGGAAGGGATTGAAGGAGAAAAAAAATGCCAGGAAGACCTCAGGTGTGGTGGTCACACGCCTAAGCTTCTCTACAGGTACATGTGAAAAGTAGCCAGTAACTCTGGATGCAGTGGGCAAAGAAAGAAACTGAAGAACAATCCTATTAAATCAGGGATTTGTATATATATCAAGATTAAATGTCATGAAAATAGTATTGCTAATTTTGTCAGAAAGAGATCCTTAGGTGCAATATTAAAGATATTCTGTGGAAAATACATATATTTTAACCATAATAATAAAAAATTCTTAAAGTGTTCAACTCCATATCATTTTGTGAACTTATTTTGATAGGATGTGGCTGCTGCTGTACTCAGGTGCTTAGCCTTGGGTTGGAGAATAAAATGGGATCCTGTCTTCACCAACCATCAGCTGGTAGTGGCCTTTCACCATCTCTGCTCTTGGATCTTCACTTCACAGCCTCCTTACTCTGGAGGGAAAAAAAAAAAGGCAAAGGTGCTTGTTTTTATAGGAAAAGAACTGTTCACTATCTTCTCTCCCTCTGTCTTTTCCCTATCTATCTCATCAAGAGCGCACTCACAAATATGAAAGTATGAACATGCAACAGCTAACTTATTTCAAACAAACACTGTCAAACACAAAGACATTTCTTAATACCAAGATAATGATAAGGGAGACTAGTGTATCAGCAATTGATGCAGTCAGATTTACTGTAAATAATCCTAGCACCAAGTGATCTTACTAACCAGCATAGGTGCACACTTCATACTCAGCATGCCATGTATGTATGCTGACTGATGTCTGCAGCATTACAGACCTATGAAGGACGGAGAAGTACCTCATTTCAGGGTTTGCTTAGAGATTTTCCATGTTAACCTAATGGAAGCACTTACTGTAAAGGGATCAAGGAGCCAAAGAAGTCATGCTGTTGTGGTGATGTCCATAATAACTCTTTCGGACTCACTGAAAGACTTCCCTCTAGACACAAGCAGAGAGTAAGAAAGACGGTAAGAGAGTTAATATTGAGAACAACAACATAATGGAGAACAACAGAGGGACCATATGTGTGTGTCTATGTATGTCTGTTTTGGCTGAAGAGAAAGACAGTGAAGAAAACAAGCAGCAGCCAACTGAATGGATATACCCCGTGTTTGCCATCTTGGCCACAAATTCTGCTCCCTGTGCCAAATTTTCCCCAGATTTACATGACTAAGAATAGTAACTATCAAAAATATTATATTGTTTGTTTTTTACAGTTACTTTTAATGGATTTACAGGGGTCTCGGCCTGTGTAGATACAGAGCCAAAATTGCCCGTTTTTCTCTCTCGGCTGAACGTATTGGTTGGCATTTAAACTGCAAAATCTGTGGCAAGAAATGCTCATCTAACAGCAATGCTTCATCAGATACAAATATAACAAGTGCTCTGTGTCTTCGTTCCCCAGAGCACTGGATTCTGCATATCAGAGTGCCCTCTTCAGTGGATGCTAGGCCAAACCACATCTTCATTAATCTCACAAGGAAGTACCTTCCTTTATGGATTACAGTCTGCCTGAATACCATCTATATCCTGCTGAGGGCAGTACTATATCGTATTCTCAGATAGGCACGGGACTGTATGCACGGGACTTTCATGCAGCAAAGATAAAATAACTTATTTTAGGACCTGTACTAGGTTACCTTTGTAAGGCTGAAACATAAACCGAGATCTACTGAAAACGCCAAGCAGGCAGGACAATTTGCAATTTGTGGTTTAGTGCAGGAATAAAGTGCCAGTATCTGTTGTGTACAAACCAAACAAGCGACGGCGTTTGCTTGCAGGGGGCAGGTCGGAGCGAGCCAGCGCTCAGGAGCTGCTCCAAAGGCCCCTCATTTGAAGTCAGCAGCAGGCTGTTTGTTGACTTCAGCAGATAATAAGAGATCAGATCTCCAGCAGCACTTGTTTTTCCAGCCTGAGTGAAGGATTTTATATCCTATTATTCTCGGGCAGCTGGGGAGTATTTGCTTCACAAATTTATGCATTTATTTCATGAACATTGCAGAGAAAGCAGTTTGCATAATAGCTAGACCAACATAGCTAAACTAACATAGTTAAATGGCAATATTTTTGAAACAACCAGTTATGGAAAGTGTTCATAAGTTGTATACATTTTTCAAGGCTGAGTTCTTCATAATTTAAATATTTTTATGTATTGATATTTTTGGAAAATGTACATAAGAGGGATTGTGAAATTAATTTTGGAAAGGATGTGCCACATATGATTCCCAAAAGCAGAAAAAAGGCCTATATTTGCATATGTATATATATTTTAAGAATCTCTACAGGAATAATGCATTAGCTCTCAAAACTGTACTTTGAAATCAGAGTCAACACCTAAAGTGATGGGGCCAGACCCTTCTCAGTGGTACCCAGTGACAGGACAAGAGGCAACAAGCACAAACTGAAACACAGAAATTTTATCTTGAACACTAAGAAACACTTCTTTGCTGAAAGGGTGGTTTGAAGGCTGGAACAGGTTGCCTAGAAGGTTGTGGAGCCTCCATCCTTGGAGAAATTCAAAGCCGAATTGTATATGTCCCGGGGAAACCTGCTCTAGTGGATCCTGCTTGAGCAGGAGGTTGGATCAGATGGTTTCCAAACAACCCTTCCAACTCCAGCTGTTCTGTGATCCTGTGAAGTAATTTGGGGGGTTATGTCTCTATGTACATCTTTTCTTCCTCTCTCACTCATCTCCACATCCAAATATGCCCATAATTTAGGATTCTTTTAAACACAATTCCTTTGTTGTGCTTGCTTTTCTTCTCACTTGTTTAGATTTAACCTATCTTAACTACAGCCAATACAGTCAAACTAACATTAGTGCAAAGGAACCTTTTTTAGTTTATAACTCATTATTTTTTTCTAGTTTTATGGATGATAGAAAGGTATATTCTCTATAAACCTCTCTTTGAGAGTTCAAAAAAAAAAACATAAAAAATGAAGGAAAAAATAACAGCTGAATACTGTTAGGTCAAAGAACATCAAAGGAACATACCTGTCTGGATAAACATAGGAAGAAGGAATGGAGCTATCTGAATAATGTCTTTAGATAGTTTCATTTCTGAAACAGTATGTTTAGTCATTATAATTTAAATAAAATTAGTATGCTTGGGACAGATTATCTACCGCAGAGTGCTGGCACTGAGGGAGGCAGGTAAGAGAAGAAAATGGGTATTTTCAAAGACTCCTTGTGGAGAAAAGAATATATGGAAAAAAAAAAAAGTAAAACAATGGTTAGAATATTGAGAAAAAGAAAGAAGCATCTGGTTTTCTTCATTCCTACTGACTCTATGACAGAAAATGTTACACTTTTTTTACTACCTTTTGTTGCATGGCACCAGTATTTCAGTACCTGGTTGCCTTAGTATTCGGTACATATCACATGAAAAGTTTGATCTTGGCCAGCCATGGAATCTGACTCAGGTTTTGAGCTCTCACCACCTCCCTCTTTCCCCAACCCAAATTAGTACAAGTCAGTTTACGCTGTCCTCCTTAACAAACATTTACCAGAATCCTTCCCAAAATAGCTGTCACTCCACACCCCAACAGGCAGCAAAGAACCCAGCTCTCTGCATCAGGCACTGGACTTATATTGTCAGTAGTGAATATAGCTGGCAAAAATGCCTCCCCAGGGGAAAGAGTCCAGGCCAGATGCCAGGTCCTACTGGCCAGATGCAGGACAGAGACTGTTACTACTGTGTATTCTCATTTATAGCTGAAGGATTGGAACAAAGCCAAGCACAAGATGTCTGGCTCTTTGGTGAATCTGATTCACCCATGTCATGAGAATGAGATTTTAGAAAACCTAAAGGAAAGCCTACCTTCTTCTAGATCAAGAAGACAAACAAGTGATGGACAAGGTGAGCAGTTACCTGAGGAAGTGGCCCAGAGGAGCAGCCCTTGGGAAGAAGAAGGTGGCCCCTTAATCCCGCTCTTTGCCCTCCTTGTTTGACTAGTAATGGTGCAGGAGCTGGCAGGAACAGGGCAAACCCCACATCCATCCCTTGGAGTAGACCGAGGGAATCAGCATGGGTGATGGGTGCAGAAATAATTATAGGGAATTATGTTAAATACATACAGGATTAGAGTTTGTTTGTTTGGTTTGTAGCTTCTGTTTTCCAATCCCAAAAGTAAAGAATGGAAACTAAATCCTATGTTTAATTGGATTGTCTAAAGGTCAGCCCTCATGCCACACTGCAGAAACTCCAGTCCTGTTTTACTACCAAAGCCGCTTAGTGTTGCAGAGTAAATAAATCCAACACATTAAGATTCCCAAGCTTGTCAGGGCCTGACAAATATTTCCAGTTTTAGAGAGGCTAAAGAGTGTGCAGCTATGCTGAATTTTATGACAAGATCCTTCCTGGTGAACACCTTCAAGCTGCTCTTCTTCAAGGGACAAGCATGGACAAAAGTTCTGTGTTTCTCAGCAAGCTCCTACACTTCACTGTGTTTTACAGAGAAGTTGGCACTTTGACCCACACTTACCTCCATTACGGACACATCCCAAGTTTCTTTAATGATCCTTGTCTTGGTGACCCATAAAATATCACATAGGAAGTCTGAGGCAAAGAAAGGAATTGGATATGGGTTTTGTAAAGATAAGAATGGTTCTCTAACCACAACCTTGATAAACTAGGGAGTTGGAAGGCAACCTTGTGATCAACTATTCTCTCTTCCTGCAGAACACAGGCAGATACTAACTCAATTAACTCCTTCCTGAATTATCAGGAGTTGTCACATTCATGGCCCCTATGCATTTTCTAAAAGCAATGAAGATTGCTGCCAAGTTTAAGCTTCCTGAAAACAGGCATTTTTAACCTAGTTACAATTTGTTACTCCTGGCAGATGATCCTTTACAACTGGCTGAAAACTCCTGATTTAGACATATTCTAAAAGAATTGTTGAAATTTAAATATCGGAAAGGTCACAAGTCTTGGCAAATCATTTTGACACCTTCTTGCCCTCACTTTAATACACAGTGTACATACATATGTATATACATATATATATCCTGAATTGTATATCCATATATATCCATTCACTTTATCAAGAAGAAGCATTACAGGTGAATGCAATACAATGTACCAAGGTCAAGATGTTAAAATTAAAATTTCATAATAGATTTGAAGTAAGTCTGAAAAAGGAGGTCATCTCTTCTAGGAAAACCAGAAAAATACAAGCAAAACAAACACATGCAGCTCTGGGACTGTTTACTAGAGGCACAGATGTGAGAGAAACACACAGAAAGTGTCACATAAGCATCAGATAAAATCACCAGTGTATTTAGGCAGTTCCAAGTTGGTTTAAAGCTGTGACAGAATTTAAAGTGCTCTAACTCAGCGGCTGAGAGGAAAGGCACTTGTCTGATGTTCAGTTCTTCACACAGTTAGGTGTTTGGCATTTGATACTGTTTAGTATAGGATAAGTATTATAACTATTGGACAGACAAAGCAACAGTATCAAATGCCAATATCCCAACATAAGAAAACTGCTTGGAGTTAGAGCCATACAAATTTAGATTTAAAACTACTGCTAATATGTGTTCAGGCGAGTATTCTTTAGCATGGGAGGATTAGATATCTCTTGTAGACATTAGGCCAAGAGTGGATGTTGATGTGGAAGATCTGTTTTAGTCGTGTGCAAGTCAACGAGTTTGGGACAGGGGGAATCATATGAAATGTAGTGCCTGCGTAATGCAGAAGGTGACGTTACACCATTTAATGCTATTTCTTGCTTTCAAAAGGGGGAGTAAATGTATGAATGCTCCTGAAATTTCCTTTAAAAGAAACATATGGGGAAAAAAAGCATGCTACTTCATCATCTATTTCTTTCCCCACACATAGTTACAAATAAATAAAATAAATAAATAAAAGGTTTCTTAAACGGTTCCCCCTGGCACAAGCATAGAGTATGTGTAAACAGAGTGTCATGGATTTTCCCCTTGGCTATCTGGAGGGAAGTTTCAGTGATCAGTCCAAACACCATTTTTGTCAGAGATGTGCCAGGAAAAACAGTAGAAATAAATTTACTGGAAAATACATTAACCGCTATTTCCTAAGGAGGGTTTTTTATTTTTTAAGAAATACATCATAATAAAATACACTGATTCAGTCTCTTACTGCGGCAGAAGAACAAGCTAAAGCGATCATATGGCAAAAACTAGGTGGAGTGCTAGAGCATTCTGTTAACCCACATCAAATCCTAACCTTGGATGTAAGAAACGCTTAAAATAAGATTATTGCTGCTGAATATTCTTTCTCTGATTACTTGAATTACAGAAGTTCTACACCAAGATTACACAAGGCATATAAACAGACTGAGCCATAGAGAAAAGTCTTGTTATTTCAGTTTACAAACAGGTAAAGAGAGATTAAGTGTCCAAAGCTAGAGAGGCATCGGACCAGCACTGACACCCTGAGCTCTAATTCCTGCTCCAGAAGAAAATCAGCTCCTTCTCTTTGCGTGAAACATAACAGTTTTAAGACCAGATCTTTCAGCCAGGACAAAGATACCCCCCAGTACAACTCCATGCTTTATTCCAGACAGGAAGAGGTCAGCAAATTAGAGAGTTGTCTCCTGACTGAGTTTATTAATAGAGTTCATGAGAAAAGGAAACAAAACACTCGATCAACACTCATCCTCCTCACCCTCCCTGCCCTCCTCCTTAGGAAAGCAAACTTCCAGAAGAAACAGATTTATTAACTTCTCAGATAGAGAAAGCCTGGCCTTTTTTAACAAGCATGAAGACAGATCTTCCCCCCAAGCAGGTTTTTGGCAAGGAGCTTCACAAGACTGTTCAGGGCTCCAGTCTCTGCACCGCCGCAGGCCGCTGAGCACAACGGGGTGGCAGGGAGAGCTCACAGGGCCCCTAGCAGGGATGAACTGCCCTCAGACAGCGACCCAGGGCTGGGCCATGTTTTATCTGTCCTGCATGTCAGAACTGCTAAGGAGTTGGCTCTGCCCTGATTATGTTCAGGATTTTATTAGATTGTGGCTTTTAGGGTTTTTCTTGCTCTTTGATTTTCTCATTAATGCCTTTAAAAGTTTTGCTCTTCATTTTCGAGAGATTATGCTTAGACTAATCCTCAGAAAGTCAGACTGGATATTAGCTAATATTAAAGGTGACCAAAAATGCCAAAATTAACAAAGATACTAGATGAAAGCAGAAAGCAAAGAGGAGGGGAACATCACTAACTCCTTACAGAGATAAGACACACATGCCAAAGCAGAAGAGCATGGAGACACGCTGGTTATCCACAGCCCTGCTGGCTTCCCAAGGCTCTATCAAGCTGGTCAGAGGGGCGCTTCCAGAGAGGGACATTGCCAAGACTGACATGTGACAGCAGCTCCCAGCTTAAGAGTGCCTTTTATTAAGTATCAGCTGCCGCCAACTGACTGCTTTGCTATTAACCTTGGCTTTAAAAAGAAAAAAAAAATCCAATAAGAGAATCTACACATAAACTTCTAAACCACTTTTAGGTAACTACATAAAAAGTTTGGCACAAAGAACATCTCCAGAAAATGAGAGGTCACATTTCAGATCTGAACAGACCTCCGAAGAGCAGGGTTTCACCTGCGCACAGAAGTTACCTCCTCTGGCGAGTTGTGGGTCTGCCTCTGGCTGACACTACATTAGCAGAGTGGAAAGGCCCGCACAGGTTAACAGCCACGCCGGGTGGGTTGGAGGGTCTCTGTGGAAAGTCCTAGTGTGACACCTGGCGGGCGCTCCTCGGAAAGCGCCAGGCGCCTTCCCGAAATACGCGGCAGCTCCGGAGAGCTGGTCACAAAACAGGAGGAGCAGGAAGTCTAACACGAGCAACATGGAAAACTGCATGGGACTATTCACGTGTGAGAGAAAAATAGCTACAAAAGCCACACCAGAGGGAAGATGTGTTCTCCTTTAAAGTGTGCTCGAATATGATAACTTTTTGTGGCAGGAACTGTAAATGCATGGTGTGTTGGCTGCTTGGGGATGTATTTTGTAACATTTGGGGAACTTTCGACACACACCTTGCACAGCAACAGAAACGGTAACAAAACATCCGCTTGGAGGAGAGCTCCTGGTCAGGAGGGTGATCTGTCGCCAGGGCCCAGCACGTCTGTTCCGCTCAACCCGGGTTCTCCAGCCCGGGATTTCCCCGCATGCCAGGCGCCCCTCGGCAGCATCTGTGGCAGCAGCGCGCTGCAGTCATGCTTAAGAAAACAAAAAATCCAATTTAAGAATTCCAATTCCCACTTAAGAAAAAAAAAATCCAATCTGAGTTCTACCGTATCAGAACAGATATTCCAATATCAGAGCATACATGCTGATACATACAACTGCAACAAGGGCTGTGCAAGAAGGAACCAGGCTACTTACTGCTGAACTTGCTCCGTGTTGCAATCATTTATACACAGCTGCTTTACAGTCACTGGCTTCTGTTTGGTAAAAGCAGAGCAGATGTGGATCCTGACTGCATGTTATTCAACCAAAGGATTTAGGGAGCTTGCACAGCTCATTAAGCTCTGCTTAAATTATCCAATTTTTCAAAAAAATGAAGGTTTTGAAATAGGGTGAGTAATAAAGGAGTACAGATCATGTGTAAGTGATATTCCAAGTAAGTAGAACTTTAAATGTTTTTTTTAACAATTATAGGCATGCATTAGAATTATTTTTAGATCCTTTAATACATTGATTAAACCTATAGTTAAAGACAATCTTTGAAGCCATCAAACTGCAAGTGAATGTATCTCAGAAAAACAATATTGTTACTGAAAAACTACTTTTAAGTTTTAATTCTATAAAGAACTCCTGCATGGGGAATGCACAAACTATTTAAAATGAAATCAATGTGTTGTGTTATTTTATGGCACTATTAAAACCTGATTTTTAGCCTTATAAATAATGGCAATATCAAAACCTCAATAACAGCACCATCCACAATTAAGGTTATTCAGGTGTGCCTTAGTCTTTCAGGGATACTCTTGCTGATGCCCAGAGAGTCCTACAGTAGTGCACACAAAACAGAGCCAGGAAAGGGAGGGCATATGGAGAGAGGGAGTCTTCACCACAAAACCATCTGCAGAGGGACTGGAATTGGGATTTGGGAAGGAAAACTCAAACTGGAAGTCACGAGGCATTATGAAAATTCACAGCGGCTCAAAGTGAACCATCAAAATTTATCAAAACTTTTAGTCTCTATAACTCTCTTTACCAATAAAGGGACAGAAATGCCCAGCCCCTCACCTTTACAGGTACATTATGTGATGAGAATTCAGGAGAAAAAAAAAAAAAGTCCCTATGACAGTGATGAGTGTCACAGAAAATCCTTGTAAAAAATAAGTATCTGCAGAATAAATAATATGCCATAAATGTAACAAGGAGGACTGGTGTCAAGGAGGAGTAAAAACAGCAGCGTAAGTGGGACAGCCTTCATTCAGGCACTGAGGCATGAGTTCCATGGGGGAAAAACACTATTTTCAAGTGCCTATTCTAAGAGATAAATTGAGGGTTGTATATTCTAAGGGTTGTATATTCTAAAGGTTGTATATTCTGTCTTTGCTCTGTCTGAAAGTTTAGCAGGCACTTTTACTTTCCTGGCACTTTTACTTTATTTTAATACCTTTTGCTCTGTACCATATTTACCTTTCTAATTAACCATTACATCACTGTTTGAATTTGCATCTCAAGTTGTGGCAACTTAATGAGATTTTTTTTCTCAAGAAATGTACTTATTTTCAAGTTTTTATCATCTCATATATGCTAAGTAAAGGAATGTCTAATGTCAGGAAATTTGAACTTCAGTTTTTAATTTCCTTGTACCTCCCTAGCTTCTTTTATTGCACTTCTGGGAAGGATAAATTCCATATCCGTTTTGCCAGGAAAGTCTGAAGCTTGACATGCAGCTAAACTGGATGGGAAGTAGCAATATTGCCAGGTTAAGGTTTTGGCTCAAGGTGGCTGAATTTACATGTCATGGCTAAGCTCGTGTCAGATTTACACATATCACACTTACTGGTTACTTGACTCACTGCTGAGGCACAGCAAGGGAAGCAAAAGGTATGTGACGTACACTGCAGTTATGCTAGTGTTTGTTCACCCTGAGGAAATAAAATGTGTGACTTGTGATTGAGCTTTAAGATAATAATGCCATTACTGTAACTCGGTTTGGAATTCCTTCTTGACACTGTATTAAGAATAATCCAGCAAAAGTTTTGGAATGTAAATTGCATACATGATTTGAATTTTCTAGACAAAACTATTTTGCTTAGGTGTGTTCTTAGGAAAATGTCCTGCTTTATCACCGGGCAGCAGTGCTAACGTGTCGCGTTGCTTGAGCTCAGTCTTCCACTAGAGGGATTATTCCTCCAGCATTGCGAGCCAGTACCCGCCTAGCTTAGATCTAACAGTTCCTTACCCACAACATAAAAGTCAGTGCAGGTCAGGAGCCCTACAGAGGACAGATCTACTGGTTGATCTTGAACAGCCTCTTGCAGGACAAGGCAAGAAAAACACAGTAAAATACAAATGCACCAATGCAAACAAAACACCCAGTCAGCAACCCATATAAAGTGCATTACTTCATTATATCTGCCTCCTACATCCTTTCTTCATGTGTTGTCAAATTTAGACGATCTTGCAAATATTAACTCCCAAGTGCAATGCCAATTACTGATAGTCTAACTCGAAACACTGCAAAGGGATGGTGACTGGGTGTTTCTGTTGTGTTTAAGTACAGAAAATAAGTAACTGTGAAACACCGCTGTTTTTCTATGCAGCTTATACAGTTCTACTACCTTCATCTAGCAACTGGTCTGTATCCAATATGTTTATTCCAACTAATGTAGCTAAAAATGCCTTCCTGACATCTTTGAGCTATTTGCCATACGTGTATATCATATTTCACATTTTCATTTACACCTCTACAGCTCTTCAAATCACACAATCACAGAATGGTTGAGGCTGGAAGGGACCTCTAGAGATCACCTAGTCCAACCCCCTGCTCCAGCAGGGACACCCAGAGCACGGGGCACAGGGCGGCATCCAGGCGGGTTTGGGAGATCTCCAGAGAAGGAGCCTCCGCAGCCTCTCTGGGCAGCCTGTTCCAGGGCTCTGTCACCCTCACAGTAAAGAAGTTCTTCCTCATATGGAGGTGGAACTTCCAGTGTTTCGATGTATACTCATTACCCCTTGCCCTGTCACTGGCCACCACCAAGAGTTTGGCCCCAGATCTTAGCATTTGCATTCACTGACATTTATTTTCAGTTCTTCTACCCTTCAAGCATTTCAGCCCAGTACCCGTATTTTATTTTAACTGGGGGAGTCTCTTGCCCGGATATTACTCTATACGGCATACCGAGGTGCAGCACAGTGTATGTGTATGTACATATAGGGTACACGGCGCGTAGATTCACCCTGCTCAGCTGAACCACGCGACCTCCGCGGCCGCAGGCGACGGGCCCAACGCCCGGCCCGGCCCGGCGGGCGGTACCGGCGGGGAGGGCCGCAGCTCTGCGCAGCCGGGGGCGGTACCGGCCC